ATGGCACGCTATCTGTAGTTAAAGGGCATGAGCTAGATTGACGTCAATAGGCCAAGTCTCAAAACTCATCCTGCTAAAATGTGGAACAAAACTCAAAATCATAGAAAAAGGCCAGGTTTTTGGTCTGATAGAGCCTGGTGAGACCCCTGGGACTGTGGCCCCTAGCTCCCCTTCAGGTCTGGAATTGAACCCACTCCTGTGGCTTCCAGCCAAACAAGACAGACATATGGGGTGAACACTTACATCAGGGAGATACACTTCTTGGAGCCATCAATCCTCAGAGAACAGAAGACCAGCATTTACACAGGGAGACAGCTCGGGGGGCAGGAGTGCATGGGAGGGAAGGACACAGGGAAGAGGTAACTATGGGGAGGAAGTGGGAAGAGAGCTGTTGCACTGTGGGGAATTGCAGTCAATGTCATGAAACAAAATGCGTATGAACTGCTGTAGAGAAAATGGATTTGCTCTGTAAACTCTCACCTAGATCGCAATAAAAATTTAAAAAAAAAAATGCTGTACAACTTAAGGACAACATCAGCAAGGTCCCTGAGCTTTGCCAGTCTGTTGGAATGGCACATCCTTTGCCGTGTGTTCACGGGAAATCAGAAGCTTATAGATCACAGATAACCAACCAACCGACCCCTCCTCCCGTGGAGTGACCCTCCTCCCGCGGAGTGACATAAACACATTACAGATGTGTATGACCCACTTGTTGTTTGTGTAAAACAAATCATACAATGTATGGCATGCTTACGGCGATGCATGACAACATAAAAGAACGAAGGAGGTCTGGGAGGAAACCCCCAAACTCCTAACAGGCGTGACCCTGCGGAGTGAGGAGGGCTAGGACTGGGGGAAGAGGGACGGGTCAGAGGCAACTTTCTTCCTGTCAAACAGCACGGACTCAGTAACGGCTGTCAGCTGCAGTCAGGCCAGTTCTGGCTCCTGACACCCTCAGTGAGGACCACTCCACGAGGTCTCCAAGGCTGTGACCTTTCTTTCAGAAGCTGAGATTCCCAGGTGCCTCGATCTGCCAACCTTTTCGGCCAACAGTTGAGCACTTAGCAGTCTGCGCCACACAAAGACTCCCAGGTAATGGTTTCATAACTTAAAGTAATTTTAAAAAAGGAAGAAGCACTTGGTTGGGACAGCCCACTCCCCAACTGGACCTGTGCCCCAACCTGTAAAAGGATGGCATGGCCCGGGGGTGGCCAACATCTCTTGGGTGCCTTTCAGTCTTGGGGGTCCAGGAACCTTCAGTGGTGGTGCCTGGGTGCTGAGCGCCCACATGGCATCCCTGCACCCTCCCCCACTGAGGCCATGTGGTCTACTTGCCATTCTGTCCTCGAAGGTCTTGACCATGATGCCGTCAGGCAGTGAGGTAGCCAGCAGTGCCATCTCCTTCCGCACCGTGCTGAAGAACTTCTTAGCTTCTGGAGGCTGGAACTCGATTTTCTTGAAGGAGTGGTTTGCTGGAGGCAGAGAGAGACAGGTGTGTTGGTCCTGGATGGCCCAGCAGCTCCGTCTGCAACTGCCGCCGGGGGAACCTCGGGAGCAGCTGCTGGACGCCCCGGACAGGTGAGTCGACCCACTGCTTCCCACCCGCTACTCCCAGCACCTGGAGTCTGGTGGCCGCAGGGGGCGCGGTCCCGGCAGCAGCCGGGCTGGGCAGGCGGGGGAAGGGCGCACTGCCTGGCCTCCAGCTGTGTTTGCCCAGACGGGAGCCGCCCGCCCAGGGACAGCAGGGTGCACTCACAGGGAGCAAACTCGAGCACGGAGAAGACCTCGCCCTTGGCGCTGGTGAAGGTGACGCCGGGCTTGCCGCCGCACTGCTGGCAGAGCACCGGGGTCTCGCCGGGCCACTCGGCCTTCACGGGGGACGGTGCCTGGGGCCTGTCCTCCCTGCGCCCCGCGTCGGGCGCTGCCTCCATCTTCTCCTCCTCGGCGATGGCCACGTTGTCCAGCGTCTTCCTGAGGTTCTCCTGCAGCTTCTTGATGTCGTCCAGGAACTTCTTCTCCCGAGTGGGCTTCTCGGGCTCCGCCGTCGGGGAGGTGGGCGAGCCCGTCAGCAACTGCTCCACGGTCATGTTCTTCAGGCTCTCCAGGATCCTGATGGCCTCCTTCAGCTCCCGGAAGCTCTTTGGGGGGCCGTCCTTGCCCGCCTTCTCCATCAGCCCCGCCATGGGGGCGGCCATGGCCACGGCCCCCTGGATGGCAGCCGTGGCGGCCTCTTCACTGATGACCACGCCCTTGTCCTCCTCAGGGGCAGCCGGCGGTGCGGCAGCAGGGGTGGGGGGCTCCTCGCTCTTGGGGTGCTCGTCCTCCACCAGCCCATTGTCCGTCTCCCAGCTGTCACTATCGTCTTCCCACTCATCCGAGGACGCCCCACTGGTGCTGCCGTCCACCGAGTCATAGTCAGACTCCTCAATCTCGGACTCGATATTGTACAGGTGCTGGGGTGGGGAGAGAAGCACCAAGGTGACTCAGATGCGGGGACCCCGACAGGGAGCTCCCCCTCACCACCAGGAAGGAACTCTGCCTGGGCACGCTCGTGGGGCCCTGATCCTCACAGCTGATGACTGGGCTCCTGGAGACCTTGGCAACCGTATCCTCTCTCTCCACCTTTCCTGCTCTGGACCTTGGAGGTTGAACCTCTTGGTGCTCCTGGGGCCCTTGGTCTCTGGGGTCACCTTTTATCTGCCCCACTTCCCTCAACAGGACCCCAGCTCAGCCACACCCTGCCTGTGTGCCTGTGGTCAGCAGCTGCCCAATGGGGCCTAGGGGCCCAAGGGGAAAGCGTCAACAATCCAGCCCCACCCCTGAGGGCTCAGGGCAGCTGCCACTGGGACCAGGGTGCCCTTGGCAGGGCTCCATCAGGGAGGGTGGAGCACATGACAGGAGGGATGCAGGGGAGAGCTGGCCTGTCCATATCCTGTCCTGTTCCTGGGAATGGCCTCCTAGACAAAGGGAGAGTTGGGGGGCAGGACAGCTCAAACAAGGAGGCTGAGGTTGGTCCTGAGAACACTGGCAGGGGCCTCCTTGGGCCAGCCTTCTCCTCTTCCTCGGCTGGCTGCCAATGGTTCCCTAGCAATGTGGGTGGGAAAATCTCCATCTCCCTTAAGGGTAACTTCTTAGCATGGGAGATGAGAATCCAGGCAAATGAGGTCTGTGATAATGATAATCTCTCCGCCCCTGGGCAGCTGGAGAACCTGCCGGGTGAGCAGCTGGGGCCCTCATCCTCTGACCTCCCTGACCCAGGGCCATGTGCGTAGCAGCTGTCCTTCCTCTAAGATCTTGGCTACCCCCAAAGGTGACTCTGGTCAGCAAGGTCTGCAAGCAGGTTCTTTCCATTCCCAGGGAGGGGATGGAGGTGGGTATCGCTCCCAGCCCAGTCAGCTGGCCACAGTTTGGGTCCTGGCAGAGCCTCACCTGAGGCAGGATGATGGTCTTTGAGTTGTCGGCCCACACTACCTCCACCTTGCTGCTGACATCCACACGGGCCACCTGGCCCACCGATGGCTGCAGGGCAAACAGGAGAGTCAAGGGTGCGGCTCTCTAGAAGGGTGGGGGCCAGATCCCCGGGAAAGGGAGCCCCAGCAGTAGCAGTGGGTGGCAGGGGACAAGATCATGGGCAACCTAAGTGTGAGAGCTCCCCACTCACACACTGTCCAGCTCACTGTCCACCGAGCTCAGGCATCACCTCTAGGTGAAGGGCCCTCAGGCTCGCAGCACCTGGCTGCTGTGCCCAGGATGGGGGTCCCTGCCCCGCTCGGGCTTTCTGTGCCTCCTCTAACCAGGATCTGCCCCCACCCAGGTTCCCACATCCCCAAATGGGCGTCCTCCCCAAGCCTCTCCCGTATGGTGCACACCCACCCCTCACTCATCAACACAGTGAGGGTCCCAAGACCAGGTTGTTGTGTGAAAATCAGCGTTACGCAAAAATGGAGGATGAGTCCATTGTCACATAACTGCCACACCGCTGAGAATCAACGCCCTTTCACAACACACAACTCTGACCGTGAGTCGCGTCTCAGGCCTTGGCACTCATCACTGCTAGATGTGTGCTGTTAACGAGCAAGATAATCGGATAGCCGACCTTTCACTATTGTCAGCAATGCACGACGTTGTGTAATGAGACAGTCAGTCAGTAAGGAGAAGCTGTACTCGCAACCCCACTCACTGCTCGTCTGACGAGGCACCCAGCTTCCTAACAGACTTCACCAGGGGGGCTCAGGACGTCGGCAGGAATGAAGTTTGATCCCCCAGTCTCTCTGTGGGTGTCAGGCCTGAACAGCACTTCTACTGGGGTCAGCTGCTCTCCTGGGGAGGGTGCCTGGGCAGGGCTGGGAGCCCAGTGGATTCACTTCAGGGGACTGACTCCAAGCCTGAGGCTCGAAGAGGCACCTTGCAGGGAACTTCCAATCCTGTGTCCTGGGGCCACCTGGTGGCTCCCTCAGGAACTGCAGCTGCTGCCCAGGCAGGGAGCATGGACCCACAACTGAACGTGGGGCAGGGAGCACTCACTGTACCTCATCCTCCTTGGGAGGGGCTCCATCCTCAGTGTTGCCGATGCGGATGACGATGTCCGTGGTGCGGAACCGGAAGTCAGGGTGGTCAGCAATGTCATACACACTCACATCCTCCTCTTCTCCGATCAACTGGGGCACAGGACCGGCGGCTGTCAGCCAGGGGCCCCAGCCCGCCCAGCCCACCCTGAGGGGGGGCGCTGCACACACCTCCACGTCATCCCCGCTTGGCCGCAGCTTGAACCACTTCACCATGCAGGTGCGGCCGACGTGGTCCCCAGACTGCACCACGCCATACACAGCAGGGTCTGGGCAACTATGGACTGGGGGCAGAATGCACACGGCTCACCAAGGAGCCCTGGCCGTGGCACCCGCCTGCTGCCCACCAGCCACCCGCATCTCAAACCACATGGGGTCAGAACCCGGCAAAGACTGCAAAGACTGGTCTTCCTGAGGGAGACACTTTCAGAAGGGCATCTCCCCCCTGACTTGGCTTCACTGCCGACCCGCTCCCGTCCGCCCCCAGGCCAGCCCTCTCCAGGAGGCTGGTGCTACCTCGCTTGTCCACCACGAAATCTCCCGGGCAGAACTCATTGTTGTCCAGGTGGTGCACCGGGAAAAGGTCATTGGAGCGGATGTTGCACTCCACGGAGCCATCCTGCCACATGACATCTGCTGAGGTCATGGTGGTCACCACTTCCACGGCCACCCTGCAGGGCAGGGACCAGGATTGAGGCCGCTTCCCCGAGGGACGGCCGACTGTGTCTCTGTGCCCACCCTCACCCCAGGGGCTCTCCAGTAATCAGGCAGCAGGGCTGAGAGGAGGGGACCAGAGTTGTGATACTGGGACAGCACCCCTAGGCTTTTCCACGCTGCCTGGTTCGCTGCCTACACTGTCCTGCGCCCCTGTGCGTCCCCTGGGGCCTGCCCAAGCAACTGCTGGGGTCTAGACAGGCGCCCTGAGCAGCCCTCCCTCCCGCCCCACCTGTCTCTCGGCCCCACCCCCCCACGCGTCTCCCATCCCCATCCCCCACCCGTCTCCCATCCCC